CCCTTTTCTAAGGAAGAGAAATGAGATACAGAGAAACAGACTCAGAGTGCTGAAGCTGCCTGGATCTGAAGAGGCTGAATGATCTACCTAAGAAGTATCCTGAGATTCTTTGCAGTCTGTAGTCTTGAAGTTCCAGAAAATAAAGCATTTGACTGACATGCAGTACTTGTTACACATAATAGTTGAGGATGGAAGGGCCCTTTGGAGATCTAGTCCAACTCCCCTGCTCAAAGCATGCTCATCAAGGGCAGGTTGCTCAGGGCATTATCCAGTGAGGCTTTTAATATCTGCAAGGACAGAGCCTTTACAACCTCTCTGGGCAACCTGTTCCAGTGTTTGACCACCTTCACCATAAAAATGTTTTTTTCCTTAAGTTTAAATGGAATTTCTTGTATTTCAGTTTGTGCTCATTGCCTCTTGTCCATTCACTAGATACCACTAAGAACTATCTAGTTCCATCTTCTTTAGAACCTCCAATCAGATTTTTATAGACATTGATAATATTTCCCCCCTAAGCCTTCTCTTCTTTAGGCTAAACAATCTCAGCTCCCTCAGACTCTCTTCATGACAGATGCTCCAGTCCCTTAAGTGTCTCTGTGGTCCTTTGCTGGGCTCACTCCAGTATGTTCATGTCTTGTACTGGAAAGCTCAGAACTGGACACAGTATTCTAGATGTGGCCTCGTTGGTGCTGAGTAGAGGGGAGAATCACCTGCTCTTGACCTGATAGCTACACTCTTCCTAATGCAACCCAGGAGGCTGTTGGCCACCTTAGCTTGACACCCACCAGGTCCTTTTCTGACTTGCTTGCTTTCCAGCCAGTCAGCCCCCAGCCTACATTGGTACATAGCATTACCCCTTCCCAGATGCAGGACTTGGCAATTCCCTTTAGTGAACTTCCTGAGGTTCCTGTCTGCCCATTTCTCCAGCCTCTTGAAGTCCTCTTGAATGGCAGAAAAATTGTCTGATCAACCTCTCCTTTCAGTTTTGTATCATCTGCAAATTTGCTGAGGGCACACTATGTTTTACTGTCCAGATCATTAATGAAGATATTAAACAGTATCAAACTCGGTGTTAGGCCTGAGGCACACTGCTGGCCAATGGCATCCAGCTGGACTTCATGGTGCTCATTACAACCCTTTGAGCCCAGCAGTTCAGCCAGTTTTCAGTCCACCTTGCTATCCACTTATCTAGTCCATACCAAACCACAAGTTTGTCACTGAGGATTGTGGGAAACAGTGTCAAAAGCCTTACAATAGAGGAAAGAACCAGGATTTTGGGTGATAGGGCAGTACAGGTAGAACAAGAAAGCTTGGTGTATCTACACTTAGATTTAACAAATTCACTAGCAAAAAAAAAGTTGGAGAACAGAATAGTTTAGAAAATGGAGTAGAGAAAAAAAAAAAAGATTGTACTGTTGTATCACTGGCCAAGAGTGATGTTCACAACAAGAACTGTGGCTCAGCTGGCTGACGAAGAACTGAAGATATCTGACACATTCAAACCAATTGGGGGTGGGAAGGATGGAGAGGAAAGGATGCAGAAAACAAGGTCCAAATGAACAAGAATATATGTCCAGTTGTACCAGTTCCTATCATATTTAAAAAGTCCTATTTACATCGTAATAAAATACTTTGCAGAAGTGTTGTAGGGCGTTTTAAACATACAGATTTACTGAAATTAAAGGCATTGGAAAAAGCTGTCTATGTTACTACACAGATTCTATTCAGGAAAGGTATTTACCAATTAGAACTTTGCTTGGCTCTGTGCGGACCATCAAAGTAGGACAACAATAAGGACCATATCATTATTTCATAATTTAGCTAAGGCTTGGTCAGGTAAGCCCCCTAGAAAATGAAAACACACCCAAACCAAAAACCACATCCCAATGTTTAACGTGGCATTTTTTGCATAAAATTTGCATAAAATAATTTTAAACAAACCTAGAGGCTGGCACATCAAAAACAATTAAACATAGGAAATTTGGAACTTATACAGTGAAGTTATTGGCAAGTATATTGGCGGAATCACAGATCTGCAAAATTTCCTATGCCTATTTTTTTTTTTTTTCCCAAATTCACACAACAGAACTCAGTAGTGAAATGGTGGATCTAGTGCAAACTATAAACTGTGAAGGGTGTTAGTTTTTCCCATTTCTCTAATTATTTCCAATTCTTTCAATTACATTGTTTCATCACTCCCCAAAGAAGTACAACTCTGACAACACTATGCTGCCTAAAAATCACATACAAAACATTTTCCTATCATTCGCAAAAGCACATCAGGTGAGTTTATACAGGAGAGAGCTGCAGCACAATGGGGAAGAGTTGTAACAGCTTCAATTCTCCTGTACTCCTCCTTTATTTCAAAAAGTACTGTAGAAATAGTCCTGCAACTGCAAACCTCCTAAAAACTTAGGTTTTTCTCTTCACTTTTTGAAATATTTCTACCTTTTTCAGAACAGTGAAGAAAAATGCTATTAACTAATACATTATGTGTGTATCAGGAACTAAACAGTGGGGCTCCACCTGTATCATTTAGACAAAAGGCTATCTCACAAGATTTAAGTTACTTCAGAAGACAATTTGCTATTCTCTTATACACATATTTCATAAGAGTTCTTTCCTGAAACTGTTCTATTATCAAAGTTTTCAGCATTATCCCCAGTGTTATATTCCAAGAAAAAAAAAAAACCCAACAAAACAAAACACCACAACTCAGTGAAGTCTGTAGATTGTAACAGAACATACCCATCTTTGTCCTTTCTATACATGCAGATACAACCTAAAAGATCACCTACAGTGGAGACAGGAGAAAGCTGTAGCTAGTCACTGCACCCATGAATTTTCAAAACAATGTGACTGCTATTTTTTCTTAGATCACACTGTGGCTAAATGCTTCCAACAGCCCAGACCACAGCCTTGCCATTCTCTCTTTTTTTTTTTTTTTTTTTTTTTGAACTGGGAAGATCTGTCTGAAAAGAAAACAACTGTTCGATGTTTTAACATAGTAGTTTTAAACATAGTAAGGAATATATTAATCTCTCACATTATAGCTTGAGGTTGTAAACATACCAGTTGTTGTCTCCTGTATTCATCTGGTTACACAAAGGTTCAACCGCACCTCTTTGGAAGCAGGGAAAACCTTACTTTAAAAGAGCAGCAACACTGCTTAGTCTTTGTAATCACCAGGGAGAGGCTCTCTGTGATGTACAACGTCACCTGAAACTGAGGTTCAACATATACAGGAGGACAGGAAGTCTAAAGGAGGTTGGCAAGACACCAGCAAAAAAAAATAACTCCGTAACGTGTGA